CCTCCCCGCGGGCGGAGTCCGCGCCAAGAAGTCGCCTCCCGGGCCCCCGACGTCCAGCCAGTGCCCACAGGCTGTCCAGGCTGTCACCGCGAGGAGTATGGGGCTCTGATGGCCATGGACGGCTACAGGGGCTTCTTGGGGCTGCTGGTGTCGGCGCTGCTCGTCGGCTTCCTGTGTGTGCTCTTCACCCTCATCTGGGTCCTCCACTACCGGGAGGGGCTCGGCTGGGACGGCAGCGCTCTCGAGTTCAACTGGCACCCGGTGCTCGCGGTGACCGGCTTCGTCTTCGTCCAGGGCATCGGTACTGGCGCCTCCCGGGGCGCGGGCGGGGGTCGGGCGGAGCCGCGATCGGGCTCTGCGGGGCGCGCGGTTGTGCAGGCGCTGGCTGCGGGGCGGGTCCCGCCGGGTAACCGGGAGCCGCCGCCGGAGGGCTGGCACGCGTTCGGTGGTGCTGGGGCGTCCGAGAGAACCTGAGGCGAGATGCCCAAGTCCGCGCCGGGCGCCCGGGCGGAGCGGGCCTGCGCAGCAGGGGCGCAGAAAGCCGCCGGGGGCGCGGCCTTTCCCTGAACTTGGAAGCTCAGAGAGGGAGGCGGCCGGGAGAGACGCGGGGCTGAGGACTCGCTTCTTCGGGGCCTTCCCCGGCCCGGGCTGACGCGGAGGCGCGCGCAGCATCCTCCGCCCCCCAGCGCTGAGCTCCGCGGCGGCACTGCGCAGCCAGCGCAGGCTCTGGGTCGGTCGGTCCCGAGCCTACTTGCATATGTGGCGGCCCCCGGGGAGAAAGTTCCTCCGCGGAGCTTTCTGCAGGGCGGTGGTCCGAGCTCGCGGCGGGAGGTGCGTGGCTCCGAGGGGGTGCCCCAGTGCGGGGCGCCCCGGGGGGCTGCTGTGCGTGTTCGGTGTGTGGCAGGCCTGCGGTCCCCGGGACGGCGCTGATGCGCTGGGGAGCTCGGTCTGCAGCGCTGTTTACTGTCTGGGCGCAGCGCCTGCAACTTTGTCCGGATCGTTTCCTTGGACTGTTTGGTTGAGGAACCTCGAGCTATGGCGCAAGCCTTTTCCCCTGCTAACCACTTGCCCCAAAGTGAAATCCAGGCGGCGGCCTTGCGCATGCACTTAGAAAAAGAAAGTCGTGTGCTGGGGTTGTTATGTCACAGGACATAATCGAGAGGAAAGGAACAGGTTCCAACAGGGATGCCAGCCGGCAGAGGGGTCTGGCCTGGCCTGAGAAAGCTATCTTTTTCTCCACCAGTATTTAACTCCCTCCAAACAAGCAAGCAAGCAAACAACAACAAGAGTACTGGCCTCATTCCTAAAGAAAAGTGGTTTGGTGTGTTTTGTGTTCCTGCTGTAAACTTGTGCTGCAGCTTTCCACCCGTGTGGCCTGCTTTCTCCCACTCCGGAATGTGGTGGAAGGTATTACTAACTGCTCAGATTTCCGAAGCTTCCCAGCCAAGACTGGCACCACTGTGAATCGCTGGCCATTTTTTCAACTCATCTTGCATTCATCGCAGCTATGTTGCCACTATACAAACATGAGAAGAAAAAAAACACACACACACACACTCCGGTCTTAAAAACACAGTCACCAAGAAGACCTCTTACCTTCCTGGTGGAGCGCTTTATTTTGATCTGAGCTGTGTGAGCACTTTCTGTTGTCAAAATAGTGCAAATGGCCTCCACCTCTCCTCAGTCCTCCTGGTGGAGCAGTGCCCACTACCAAGAAACCCCAGAGGGTTGGAATATGTTCTGGTAGTTGAGGGTTAAGAGAAACTCCGGGGAGGACATGGGTTGCTTAACTTAGCAAAGAGGAGACCATCTTTCCCTGTGTTTACTGAGACACAGAGAAGATAAGTAACTTACTCATGGAAGTCCTTTCAGTGAATTTTCTTATTTTGGGGGATCATTCTTTGCTTTTATGGCAATATGCTTAATTTCCACCACGTTGGGATTTTATTTTTGTAGGGGAGGTTTTGTTTTAAGTCAGGGTCTTACTATGGAGCCCTGGCCCCTATAACTAAGGGCTAGGATTACAGGCATGTACGGCCACATGGCTCCAAGTTACCTTTCTAGAGAAGCTTAAAGTTCTACTTATGTATACTTTGGAAATCTTCATTCATGTTAGAGTCTATTCCGTAGTTTTCTTTAAAGGTTTTTTAAAAAATGTCTTTCAACCATTGACTTCTTTTTTGGTCGATTTATACTTATTTTGTGGAAAAAATATGTATCTGGATATTTTGGAAATTTTTACCAGTTGCTCTTATGCAACCCTTGTTGTTTTTAGACTTAGTCACTATCTTTTGGGTTGCTGTCCCAATGTTTGCCCTGTTAATATTACCCATCCCATTTACTGCTTGGATCCTAGATCTACAAAGCATTTTAATCACATAGTATATTTAATTGACTTAAGCATGAATTTTTTCATACATGTAGACACATGCATAGTTCTCTCCAGTGTAAGAAGGAGTAAATACAGAAACTCCACAGTTTCGGATGGGTGACATTTCTGCTAAACCTACTGAGGTTGAAAATATCACCGCTGAAAATGTTTTTAATATCCCTAAGCCCATGAACCTCAGTGCTTACAGCACAGTGTATTGTGGGGTGGCTGAAGCCTTTGGCTCGTTGCCACTGACCATATTAAAATCAAACAGATCAAATGTGAAGTACAGTGTCTTCCATTATAAAGGCCAAAGCTTGTTATATTGGTTCATCTTATGGCAAAGACTATCTATAGGTGACTTTGTAGTCTGTAAGAGACACACTATATTCTGACAGGCTTTATACTGTGTATAATTGCTTTAGGGAGGAGAATGCTTGGCTTTGAGATTTCAGATTTCTAATAATGAAAATGACATAAGCTCTAATGATATGTACCTGTAATACACAGATATATTGAGATGAGGAAAGAAAGATTACAGTACTAATATTCTTAAGCATGAATTTTTTTTTACAAATGCAATCCAGTAAGCATACTTGAAACTATGTCAAGAGAAAGTACAAGTCATTTGAAACATCTTTAAAAAGTAAGCTTCAAAGAAAGCAAGGTTATTATTGTAGACCAATATAAACCTGTCTCTGTCTCTTTATTCCCTGTTCACCACATTCTCTGTCTCTGTGTCTCTTCGTCTTTAATCTGTATTAATCTAAACATTGACCATCTCTTTCATCCCTCACCCACCCACACATGTATATTTTGAAGTGCACGTGTTCTAAAAAACAAAGTACAGCAGACTAAGAAATATTTTTTTCAAAATGTATTTTTTAGATATGTTGCCCAGCCTGGCCTCAACCGTCTGTGCTTAGACTATTCTGTCTCAGCTTCTCACGTAGCTGAGACTACAGGTGTGTGCCACTAAGCTCCACTGAATAAAATCTTAGCCTCACGGACAATCTAGCTAATAGACTCTGGCATGACGAGTAGACTTTAGAAGAGGCTTTGTGCTTCTCTAAAAGGAATGATTCTCATGAAATGTGTATACGGCTGGGAAATCAGAGAAACTGTCATTGTAAAGAAGGCCATAGTAAAGACTGAAGCAAATAAATGCTCTCAAAGTGCAGTTGACCTTTTAAAAGGTTCAACACGATGGAATGTGTTCTTTAGTAAAAAATAGAAAACTCAGGTGAGCAAAAAAAAAAATCCTGGCAATTCTATACTCCACATGAAGAACTCCTTTTGTCCTGTAAAGTGAAGGAAGAGAAATTAAATAGCTTAATGACCCCAGATTGGTTTTGTGGGACAATATAACTAATTCAAGTAACTTTTAAAAGGCTAACTGAAAGAAGAACATAATTTGTTGGTTTGTTTTGCTTTGTTTTTAGACAGAGTCTTGCTATATAGGCTCTCCTGGAAGTCATGTTAGAAAACCCTATCAGAACAGGTTTTTTTTCCCCCAAAAGAGCATAGGTGTATCTTTTTAATATGTCTAAAAGTGGCCAAATTCCATCTTAGTTGAAAAGGCTTTTGGAATAAAACATAGTAAGTAAGCACAAAGGAAAGAAAAAAAACCCCAAGTACCTACTACAAAAGGGGCCTTGGGGAGAAAGTAAGCCTTGACAACAAAACCTCTTGCTCTTTTTTTGGGGGGGTCTAGTTGTGGGGCCTGAACTCTGGGCCTGGGCGCTGTCCCTCAGCTCTTCAGCTCAAGGCTAGCACTCTACTCCTTGAGCCACAGCGCCACTTCTGGCGTTTTTCTTTTTGCTTATGTGGTGCTGAGGAATGGAACCCAGGGCCTCAGGCATGCAAGGCAAGCGCTCTACCACTGAGCCACCTTCCCAGCCCTACCTCTTGCTCTTAGGGAAGTGAGGGTATTTACAAAACATAGAGACAGCTCAACTTTTTTGGGTGGGTTTGGGGAGGGTCAGGAGGCTGAAGCAGGAAGATCTGAGTTCAAGGGCAGCCTAGGCTACAAAGTGAGACTGTCTTACAACATATAACAAAATAAAACAATTCCCCACATGTGTGTTACAAATAAAGACACACAAATACAAATCTCTTAATGCAACCAGCAGAAATTTTTTAGATGTCATTTTCTTTACTGCTATATTCTTAGCATATAGAACTGGCACATGATAGACCAATAAATACTTGTTGAATGAATGATTATTTCTGTACCATCATCAAACTGTTAGTAACAATGTAGCTTTACACCCACTCATTTGTGATGTGGAATAATAGCCTTTAAAGCAAACGTACCTCCCTACCCCCATCTCCTAGTGATTGTACTGTTCAGCAGTGTAGAAACACAGCCTGGTCAACCCCAGGAAAAAGTGGATAGGAGGTAATGGAAAGAGATCTTCACACTGCTCATTAGCATGTTACTACTGAAGGGTGATCTGTGCCTCCTTTCCCTGTCTAGGAGCAGCATTACACATCAGTTCTCTCTTTTCTTCTGCAGCATTAGGATACCCCTCCCCTCAGTACACACTGGATTAGTTCCAATATTCTATGTTTGACAGCTTTTAAAACTCTACACTCATCCCACTGTACCTCTTTCCAGCCACTGGAAAAACTCTTGATTTTCTATTTGTCTTGCCAAGGAACTCCTTGAAATAATTGTACCTGTAGTCTCTGATTCCTTTCCTCTAGTTTTTTTTTTTCCTTGAAACTTCTCCAGTCCAACTTTCCTCTTCAACTCTACAGATTTGCTATTCCGTAGTAATGTCAGCAGTGGCTTCACATTACTAACCCCAGTGGTGGACAAACAGCAAGACTTCACAGTTTTAGGAAAGTGGAGAGGAGGAGGGGAAGGAGTTTCTACAAAGCATTAAGTGGCAATTCAAAGCAACTCAAAATATATTTTTTCCAGG